GGGGGGGGGGGGTACTCATAGTCATGCATGCCGTAGTCGTTAGACCATTGACCTCGCATCCCTACGAAGCCGGGGCGGAGCACGCCGGGTTCTCACTGGACCAGGCTCTCACATCACCAAGCGCGAAGCGCCGTGAGGTATTCGGCGAGTCGCATGAAGGGTGCGCTGCATCCTGCTAAGGGTGTTCGGCATCTTGTGCTTACTTCCTTGCGTACGGATGACAGGTGCGTATGACTTAATTTATTTTCTGGTGCTTTCACTTCCAGAGACAGTTGGCAAAAGCAATAAATAAACTCGGTAGTCCAAAAGCCATGGACTTATATTGCGTGAGGAATCATCGTGAACAGATGGCAACTCATATGCATGTGGCAGCCCTCCTCGTCTCCCTTGAGGATGTAGCATCGAAAGGTATCTACCGGGAGCAAAGTACCCGGCGTTTGCCACCGCTCCAGGTGCATGAAGTTTGACTCTCGCTGCGCCATCCGGAGTAACCCCACACTTACCCGTGTACAACGCACTCAAGTCTGTAGTCTAGAGCCGATCGAACCGCAGGGGTTGCGGGAAACATCACTGTGTCTTATTGACGGTATAGAGGTCATGTAACGGATAGAGAGGCTAAGGTTTTGGGTGGATCTCGTGACTATGTAAATAGTTGAGGTGCAACAACGGCGGTCTCAGGACATCCCTCCAGGACCCTGAAATGACCAAAGAGAGTAATTCAAGGGAGAGAGACTATATAGGATCTGCTGCATGATAACTCTGACCTCTTCGACAGCAGCCTCTCGATCGGTACCGAGTTCGGTGGACGTGCTTGGACGGCGGTGGTGCGAGCCTCGAAGGTAGCCTGTGGGTGTGGGAGCAAGTCTTCGGTCGTGGATACGGTTTTCACGATGATTGTTGCTGAGCACTGGAATGCTCAAACAAGGAGTTCAAACAAGAAATGAGCTCGCGGGGTCGCGCGAGCTCAAGACAAGGGGCCCTGCAAATATTGTAGCAGTTGAGCTTGGTCTATTCATGGGCACAGGCAGGCTAGCACAGCAAGACTCCGCAAGCAATTGCTATCCCAATCTCCACTTCGTTACGTCATCGGTCACAGCAGTTCTCGCACACAGGCACAGTGGCAATGGCTAAGAAATCTTGGTGGTGATCAGAATCACCAGGTAGGCATCGGATGGATGGATCCGATGCGGGTACCCGCGGATTGGAATCAAGAGGTGATGACACACCTGGATCCTTGATCCTATCAATCCACGCCCTCCATGCTCAGAGTAGCCACCTCTGCGCACTACAACGTACTTAATTGCCTGCGGGGTAAACCCTTCAGGTTCCCGTGGCGTTATCGGTCTACGGCCGCTGCAACATGCAGAACTCTCAACCGCCTGCGGGGACATCGCCAAATTCCCATACACCTCATGAAACTGCAATTATATAACCTAACACCCCCCCTTAGCATGAGCAGCTATTTGTCAGCTGTCACAAGCTAAACGATTGCGGGAACTGCGGGCACCGCAAAGTGACGCAACTCCTCTTGGAAAACTACTATGCGGTGTCTAAGAGTTAGGCTGGAAGTTCAACCGAAAATAGCTAGAGGGAATAGTGAAAGAACTCAGATAAAAACCACCGTCTCCAAATTCTCACTTCATGTTGAACAAGCCTTACATCGACTTGCGCGAAGGTAAACCCGGTGTCCGGGCGAACCCTTCGGTCCCCATCCCGAAGGCCCAAGAATTTAGACACTCTGACGTAAATTACTCCAGAAAAAAAACGTCTCTCGCTTGGTGAATTCACTATAGTTGCAGCCCGGCCCTCACATATAGCGCGGGAAAAACCTGGCCACCCAGGTAAAAGTTCATTGCGCAAAACACCTACAACACCAATAATACACCGCAGCTAAGCCGTAGGGCGCTGCAGTGGCACCGTACTCAGCCAGTCCGAACTCACAGGTATCAGCCCTATCATCTCAGGACACAACATATAACCACGCATCGTGGCAACACTCAGGTCACGATGGTGGAGCTCAATAAACGGCTACGAACATCAAGGCAAGCAGGCAGAAACAAGGAATGCATCCCACTCGTGTACCCCACTAAAGACGAACGCCTCATCCATGACTCACAGCGGGTGCCCCGAGGGTGAGTAATATGAATGGACACATGTCTGCAAACAGTCGAGAACTGCCGCACTCCAACAGACTACATACAACACGCTCAACACGTTGGAAACCCTACGCACCGGCGGCACTGCCGAAGATACCGGAAGCTCGTTCTGAGAGGATGCAACATCAGCGCTCAACAGTGATGAAGCCATTCCTCCCCGAAACGAGGACAACCAATCAATGTGCTTTTGTGTGTTTTCGTCCCATTTATTATGACAACATTCCCCCCATATTTTGTTGTGAGACGTGTACTACCTTTTTTAGTGTTTGTAGAGTACTACGCTTTTCAGTGCATTTTTTCGTACAACTACGACAATCCAGGGTCACACAAGGGGGGGTAAACACTAGGGCCTTTTTCTTTATATATATTTTCGTGCCCCACCTTCCTCCTGCGGTGCGTGCTGAATTTTAGTTTGATCGCGAGATGGGTCCAGTCGTCCCTTTCCCTCGTCAACGGTGCTAACGTATTTCGCCAAAGGTGGCTCAATTTTTTTGGTTTTGCCCAACTGTAGGCATTCGGGGGGGGGGGGGGCGGGGATTAGATGGCCCAAAGAAAAAAGAAAGACCCGGACGTACAAAAACAAGATCGAGCGCCACCGTTGCCAGCGGCATGGTAAGTGGTGGCGCTCCCGATCGAAAATTTTTGGCCCACTGAGGGCAAGCATGACACTGCTGTCAAGAAGCAAATCGCATCCAATGCCTACGGCGGATTGGATGCGGTAGGCACGTGTTCCGCACTGCGCGAGACTCCCTGAGCGACGGCGATTTTTCCAAACCGACCATGCGGAGCAGACAGACTTCCGTATTCGAAACAAGTCCAAACCAACTCACACAAAATACCACCACCCTCCCCACCGGGTGGCAATACCTTCAAGGGTCAACACGAGTCCGGAGTACAAAACTACGCTCACATCGATATCAAGTGCCTAGGCGACACAAGCAATGTACCGTGCGCCCCTAACGATAACACACCCTACAAGTTGATGAAAAAAAAAATCAAAAATGTTAGATATAGATGGTCGACGGGGCGTGTCCTATTAGGATGCAAGCACGTACGGCTGTGTACGCTTCGCTCCAACGAACGCCCCTCAAATCAGTAGCGTGTCGCGAGGACGTTATTTAGCTTGGTTTTAGAAGGGGATATTGTGTTGGGTCCGGGGCTAGGGCTACGAAAACACCTCTCTCTAGTTCACATACTCCATAACGCTCATCATTATTCTCGGGATACGGCGGTCCCCTCACCAGCAGCTCGGCGTAAGGGTCGTCGAACAAGCGGTCCCGGCGGCGCGATTCCAACGCTCTGGACGCCGCGATCATCCGCGAGGAGTAGGCCACGGTGTCAGAGGAGGTCAAGTCCAGATTGCTGCTGGTGCTGCTGTCGTTGGAGTCATCGCTGCTGCCCCCTGCATCACAATTCTCGGCTGCTGTCGACTCTGCTTTGGGAGATGTTGGTGGGCTCACGGGCGCCTAGTGTACACGAACGCGCGGTCATCAAGAAGAGCATGGCGGACAGGGGGTCTAAGTGTCACGGATATGATCGATCACTTCATGATTTCAGCGGTGTTCGGCTGTCCCACTCCGCCACTGGAAGGCCGCCGCCGTAATTTGCCGCCGTAATTTGCTTCCAAAAACAACGGAGGACGAGGCGACCATGGAGACGCAGCTCGTTGCCTTGCCGTGGTTGGTTGCTGGCACAGAGACACGCGAGAGTGGGACGGGGAGGCAACACAAGAAAAAGGCGTTGCGGCAGGAATTTCGACGATGAGACAACCTTTCTTCGCCTCAAGGCTTACCATACCAACCAAATTTGGAGACGGTTTACCTTCGAGCTGGCTCGTTCTCTGTCGGTACGAACTCGTGATGTTTTCAAACGTCATGGACTACTGATCGACAAAGTTCCACCACGGCCAATACGTTGAGGTTTCAGTATTATTATAGTTTGATGAAAGCAATAACGATGGTATCGAGGGCAATTATTTTGGGAGTGACGGAGACGAAGGGAAGGGAGACGGAAGAAAGGAGGATGACGGCGATGATGGAGGAGGAAAACATGGCATGAAAGAAAGCATTTCTTGTCTAGCTAGATGACCTTCCTCACAACAAACGCCGCAGGACTGGAGAGGACCTGCAAAAAAGTGGTGGGAATATTGGAGACGGGTGGTGATAGTAAATGCAGGGACGGTGATGAAGAAAGCAATCCGAGACGAGCGACCGTCGAAAGTCGTAGTTGCCATGGTACACATGCACATGTGCAGTTTGCTTCTGTTATCGCTACAGGTATCTGTCTTTAATCCGGAGAGTAGTGTAGACTCCCCCACGATGCTCCGTCGGGTCCCAGATCGTGGCCTTTAGAAGCATTTTGTGTTTTCAACCGCACTGAGACTGAGGTCTTTTCATTGGTCAGCCGACTAGCGCGGTCGATGCAAATAAGAAAGACACACACTGAAGACACACACGAACAACGCATCTTCTGAAACGTGCATGCGTGCGCACTTAAACGCGGCGGGAAAAAAAGCGGCGAAATACATACGAAAACAATATATCTCTTCACGAGTGCTGTGTCTTTCTCAGCAGAGTTTCGCAGCTGTAGATGACGACATGATGTCATTCCCGGCGCTTGGAGTTGGTTCCATGAATATTTACCGCGAAGGGACCAATCTTCTGATTTATTTTCCCGAGCAATGCCGCCATACGTACTCCACCACCATTCACGCTGAAACCGCGCGGCTCCGGTGCAACGGGTGCCCCGGAACCGCTCGGGGCACTCGTTATCGATCGGTGATATCGCACCCCCGTTTCCCTATGCGATATCACGATAGATATCAGATACCATTGTGAAAACCGAATTATAGCATTTCGTTCTTGACATTATAGCATATCATTCTATCGCACGGGGGTGCGATATCTCTCACCCATGCAATATCTCCGACCCCTGTGTTCGGTCGCATCCTATCCTATTTACTGAATAATTAGATTATACCGTATTTGCTGAACGATTCGATATTTTTCATTTATTAGGCTGAGTCTTACCAAGGGTTTACTCGGTAACGTTTTTTTAGGCGGACAGGTTTTTGGCGGCAATGCCATTTGGCGGGAATTGTTTTGGCGGTAGGCGGAAATGCGTTTTTGGGCGGTAACGACTTTGGCGGAGGCGGTAAAACCAAAAAACGGCGGTAAAACGGCGGATTACCGGGACCGACCACCACGGCGGTAACTTGACGGCGGTAATATTACCGAGTAAACCCTTGAGTCTTACGGCTTGATTTTATCCGGATTGAATTTTGGGGGGGGGTCCTTTTCTGAGCCCAAAATATTATCATCTTGTTACGGGTAGCAAAGTGGCAAATCCCGTTCGACCGAGGGTATAATTCGAATGGGTAGTCTTTCTGTGTGTGTATTTATTTTTCCTTAATTAAATTCCAACAGCCCGAATTCCAACAGCGATTCCGGCCGGCCTGTTAGAAAATTGGCCCATTTTCCAACAGCGATCGGGTTGAAATATCGCTGTTAGAAATGGGGGGGGGGGGTACCCCCCGGTCACACCCCGATCGTGCCAGAACGAAGAACTACAACGTCTGCTGGCCGAACAGAGGCCAGTATCATGAGGTCATGCACATACCCTCTGCAGGTAGCTAAAATTCAGGGCGTTCTGCGTCGTGTTGGCCGCACACGAGCCGAAAACGTCAACCCTGCCACATTGCTCTGCTGACGTTGTTGCCTTTCGGCCAAAAAGAGCCGGTATATGAAGCATCAAGTATAAAGGACTTTTCTCCCTCGTCTTGCTGCGGTTGCGATCCGTTCGTGTAACCGCCGAGTACAGCAGTAGCTCTTCCTTGTAGCTCGGTCCATG